GGCAAAAGGGGGTCCAACCCGTTACTAGCGTGGTGTACCTAATAAAGTGGCCGGTGAGTGTATTTTGTATGTTAATGTTGATGAATTGAGTGAAAAAACTAATTGATCTAAATTCAACAGTTTATTTCTTAGAGTGTAAAAGTACTTTAACCTTCCCAATTTTTGTGAAGTTTTATGACTTTTACTAGTAGTTTTCTCATCAGTGAAATTAATTTTTACCAGTCATTTTCTGTTCATGTAATTTTACTTAGTAATTTTTTTTCAAGTACTCTATAGACCTCTGCCAACAGTCTGCAGTTCTTTTGGAATCGAGGCTAAAGTGGTCTTGTGAAACTACAACACAAACATTGAGCAGGTCTCTCTGATGATGCACACAGCATGTGAAGTCTGCATATTCAAAGCTGTAAGAGTTAGCTCGAGAGAAGAGACAAATTGGCAGCTTTGATCCAAAATGGCCGACTTCCTGTTGGACCATAACTCCAAGAGATTTTTCGTAGGTCCTGAGACGTTACACAGGTGCACCACATTTCATGATTCTGGGTCCAAGCATGGTCTGGGGATAATTTTATAAGTACTTTTAGGGAGCACTGCAGAGGAATTAGGCCACACACCCCAAAACTTGTATACTCCAGGTTCCCACAKCTTGYTCAACATTAAATTCAAGGGCCTTTCAAGGACTTTCCAGTACCAATTTCCTCAAATTTAAAAACCACACGCAATGCAATTACCCACTGTTGCCCCAGAATGTTACCAATAAACAGGTTTAATATGTAAATTAAATGAAAACCTGAACAACATAGAAGTTGTTGAGTCAGAATCAATGAAAGAAAGTGGATTAAATGTTTACCCTACATTCATATCCACAATACATTAACATGTAATTATGTCCAGGGAGGTTTGGCAGCTCATTTTGGGAGGAGGGGATGTGAACATGTCCAGACAGGAGGAGCTGTGGTGCTCTCACCTGGGCTCAGAAAGAAAGACCCGCCCTACTCTGCTCTGATTGGGTAAAACTATGCCTATGGCTCACATTATTTGTTGAAAGCCACGTCAGTTTATCCACTGTAACAAATGTAAGTTTTTATTTTATGTTATTATTAGTTTTTTTTTTTTTTTTTTTTTTTTTACAGATGATGAAAATCAGTTGTGTGAATAGAGCTTCAATCCCCAAAAAAACATTCAAGGACTTTCAAGGACAAGTGTAATTTTTGGCTGTTTTCACAAACTTTCCAGGGCCTAGAAATCATTTTTTTCCTAATTCACAAACTTTCAAGGACCCGTAGGGAACCCTGTAATCCTGTAGTGAGGTGGATTAGGATAGACCACAGTGAACTGGGTGCAGATTGGCTGAAATACAGTATGTTGAATTTAGAGCTTCATTCCAGAAGGATACAACACTAACTGTGGCTGACAGTCATGGAGACAAGAGGAGAGCTGATCAATCTTTTTTCATAGACTTTATTATATCAGTTTTCTTCTCACTAACAGGTATACACAATGCTCTAAATGTCATGGCATTTTGTCTTAAATACTCTCCATTTTAAAGAAAAACTGTAAAAATATTTAATCATAACTAATTAAAAGATCTCTGCGGGGACAGGATGGGGACAGATGGCAGTGGTGGAGGAGGGWGGACGTGGATTTAGTTGGTGGTTTTTATCCGAGACAAAAAGAAGGTGAGGGATGGAGGTCACATTACATCCAGCTGGAGTTTCATCGTGAAGATGGAGCCGTGTTACCGTTTAATGTAAACCTGAAACAAAGACAGGAGCAGGTTAGACCAGGTGTCTGCAGACCCCCATCCTCACCTGTCCTCTCTCTCCTTCTCTCCTCACCTGCCCCACTCTCCTCACCTTACCCCCCCTCTCTCACCTGCACACTCTCTCCATCATGTGTGTGACGAGACGATCAGAGATGCCTGGACAGGACTCCTCAGCCAGGCTGAAGGCGTTCTCCAGCTCCTCGATGGCTCCCACTCCTCCACCATTAGTCCTGCGCTTGTCCTTCAGCTGGTGGTGGAGAAAATAAATTCAATAAATAACTCTTTTTTGTTTTTATTCGCCCACTATGTGGACACAACAAATATGTTTGTGTCCAGGTGTGTCTGTTAGCAAAACATCTTATGAAGTAGTGGATGATTTTAATGAAACCTGAAGACGGTAATCAAAAAATAAAAATTCTGTTTTTCCACTACCACTTTTCTAGTTTTAGCTTTTTTTTAAACATTTTCATTCAGTAGTTTGTGAGATATTGTTTTATTGTGTTGAGGTACGGGGGAAAGTATATAAGACTAGCGGTATTACACATCCTGTTTTTGTTTTGCAGAAAAGAGCTACAAGAGTTATCACTCAAAAACATTACCATTATCCATCTAATATATTATTTTGTAAATTGTAGTTAATCACCCAGTTATTTCCTGAATGTTTCTATAAAATCTGTCCAGTGTTTCACCAGATATTTTGCTAAAAGCATAGCTGACTTGAAATGATTTAAGTTATTGCACTGTAATCTAATAGATCTTCGAAAAATGTGTTGAGGATCAGTCTTAGCTACTACTACTACACCAAATGTTGCATAAAAATAGAGCCATTTTTTGTTCTTATTAAGAACAATCAGCTGTGGTGGCCATCTTGGATTGGGTTGGCTCCAAAGGTTGTTTAGTTAAAACATTTATATCCAATTATTATGTTCTGCAAGATAATTTCAAATTTGTTTAGTGATTCATGAGATATTTTGTTAATATCCAGACAATTATTTTCTGGGTGATACAAACGATCAAAAGTTTTTAACATTTTATAGCGACATAGCTAGCTTTATGAGAACCCCTTTTGTTTTGGGTGCAGTCAGGAGAAGGAGTTCTTACCTCTCTGAAGATAGGTGTGATCAAAGCAGACAAGCACTGAGACTTCGGCTGTCGTTTCATAGAATCTCCTGACTACAAGAACAAATAAAACACATTTTTCATTTCAACATACACAGGCCCTAACTTTTCAGACTCAAACTGACAGATTTTTTCAGCTCACTCAGTTCATTTTGTAGCTCAAACATCATTTTGTAGCTCAAACATTTACTATAACTTCACTTTTAAGCACAAGTCAACACTTTTGATTTATGTAACTCTTCAGATATATTCTATTCTGCATGATTTAAAACTAACCTTTAAAACCTTTTACCCAAAAAGCTGCAGCTTCTTTAGGGCTGGTAAATTGTAGATATTGCATGGCACATTTGTTAAATAGTCTGTATTTTTATGGCACAACTGAACTAGGATCATAAAGCACTTTATGGTGTGTGGTAATTTGCACATTAATCTTACACAAAGACTGATGGACATGGTCTGGGTTGCACACAGACTCCAACACAAAATACATAAAATAGACATTAATTAACTGGTTAACAGTACTTGTACTGCTGTGTTTATGTATCTGAGTTTACCAATGATGCTAATGTCTAAAATATTTAACTCAAGGTTGGATGTGGAGATTGACAAAAGTGTGACATGATGGAAACTTTATTTTTCTCTGACTGTGTGTTTAAAATAGATAAAATTCACTCTCTTTAAGTTTGAGGGTTTTACCAGGTTCTACAATTACTTAAAGCGATCTATGATTAGTTGTAACATTTGACTTTATTTGATAAACATATTTTAGCTGTAAAATAAAGACAGTAAAAATACTGTAGGCTGTTCAATTTTTATCATTTTTAAATTAAAAGTTTAAAAATATTTTACACGGACGGGGCCATTTTATTTACACGCAAAGCATTCTGGGTAAATGATGACGTGGATAGGTCCTCGGTGCGAGGCTGCTAGCGAGCTATATCCAGGGTTGCACATAAAATGTTTGGTCTGGTTCTCAGGGGAGAACCTAGGGTTGTTGCTTGGTGCTCATATTTTCCTTCACCCATTTAACACATTTATCTAGAGGGGCGTCAGGTCATCTAACGTCCCCCTGTTCTGTTTTATGACTCCTATCAGCTGCAACGTCACAGGACATCATGCCAAATCAGTCCACCTAGTTTTTTATTTTATTTTTTTACTCTACATAAATTTTGTAAACTACCTAAGTGGGCTAAGGGCTGGGTATATGTCATATAAACATCGCAAACTGAACATTTCATGGTTACATTTCTTTTAGACTAGCATGTCCCTCAGATGGACAGCTCCTGTTTGGTCTTCTGGATCTTCGGCTCTCCACACTCTCCAGTCCAAGCAGTAAATATCTGTCTTTTGCAAAGAACAAAACAACTTAAAAACATACAAATGTTTAATTTGTTAGACTGATTTATTTTTAAAAGACTATTTTATTCAAAAAGATATTATTAAAAGATATTATTTAGATGGTTTCAGCTCATGTAATTATTTATTCTTTATATTTGATAAATTGCATTTATCCCAGAAAAGCTGTCACAGTATGGTCCTAAATATAAACAAGTTTAGCACATTAATAAACT